GGGATGGCACCCCCGCTTCGGTAGCCCGACGACCTGCGCGCGAAGTCGAGCACTTTACGGTAGCACAGTTTAACGAGGACCAATACCGCACACCCTCGGTCCCTACGCAGACTGATCCAAGTGGTCACCCACACGCGCACTGACCGTAGCCAGTGATGCTTGACTTCGGTGATCTGCTGGGAACCGTGTCTTAATGATCAGTCCACTGCGGGACTGGCACTTTGCATAATTTATTGTCTTTTAAACTTTTCGAGATTCAAAATTTTCCTACAGTTTTCCTGAAAATATTTTTCACTGTTGTAAGGAGTAAAATAAATAGAAAGGTTAATTACTCCCATTTTAATTGTTAATTTACTTTAACTCGCGAAGCTAAAATGTGGCATAAACTAATAATTTTGAAAACTATATTTTCTAAAAATGAGTAAACATTTTAACATCTCGCATTGCTTACATATTAGCCATCTTGCAAACATTTAGCATCGAAGTAAATAAACATGTAAGCATTTAATTTTTAATAAATTGAGCGTGCAATTTTAAGATTTCAATAGACAAGCATTTAAAGCACATTCTCTTTAATACTACTACTGTAATGTAATTTTTAATACTTTGTTTAGCTGAAAGACTCTTAGAACGAAATCGAAATATTTGCTTGAGAAAGTGCAGCAATAATCCATGCGTGTGAGTAATTTTCATATTGAATATTTTTCTAATTTAGAAAAAAAATCTCTGCTTGAAAGACTGGTAAAAATGAAAGTTTGACTTGGATTTTATGATGTAATTTTTAAGTCAGATATAACTTCTGATTAAGAAAAGAGTGTGAAAATCCGGACATATTATTCTTTCACGATATGTAAATGCAGCATAACCGATTATGGTTGTGCAATTAACTCCTATCTTTCTGTCTATCTCCAATTAAACTTGTGTTTCCAAAGCAAGTTAAGTTCAATATGAATTGTAAAAAATTCTGGATCAAATTAAGCTATTAAGTATTGGAACTTTGGCGTCATCATCCGTAAAGTTCATTTTACCGAAGAAGAAATTATTTTCCTTAAATTATTATACAGTAATATTTGATTGACAGTGGTTTTATTGTAATTATTACTGCAAACATTACGGTATAACAGACGTTTTGTGCAGTAACATGTGCCCGTAAAAATATCGATTTTATGGTAAAAAGTACCGGCACCCTGAGTGCCGGTATTTTTTATAGTAATTTGATCCGGGATTTTTTTTATGGGGTGTTTTATGCATTTTAAATTAATGTATGATTTATAAATAGAAAAGAAGTTGAAAAAAACATAAAAATGAAGTTTTAATAGCCAAATTATTGCGTCTTCTGCAGTCACAGCCACCAGACTTTTCGAAATAGATTATATTGAAAAAACTCTGTGGAATTTTACGAACTTTAGAATGTCTAATAATCGTTAGTAGCGTTTCTTTGAAATAAATTGCCTTAAAACAGACGGTAAAATCAATAAAATTTGATAGCTGTTTGATTTAATTTTTGAGGTCGCAACTTTCATCTAATAGTCACTCCATAATCCGTACAAAAACTTAAAAATAACAATGCATTTATAATTTAAGGAACACATTTAAAATTTGTGAAAAATTCTTGTTCATAATGTGTTAAATAAATATATATATATAAATTAAATTGAAATAATAATATTTTTAGAAAAGAAATAAAACTTTTAAACAATATGCACTGTCTTTGGGATGTGTTTTAAAATGTTGTTATATTATTTTAAAAGAGATTTTTGTGCAAACATTTTATAGTGTCAGCTCCTGATTTTCTTACAGTGCATAATTTTATTCTGAAAAAATTTAACCAACAGATAAAAATAATGAAAAAAATAATCCAAGAAACGATAAAGTAGAAAAGAAGTGAAGCCACACCCTTCAAGGAAATCATCAGATTTTGTGGTCCAAGATCAAGATCAAACTATCATAATTGAATGAGTCATTTTTAATCATAATCATAAAATTGAACAATTTAAATAATGTATTGTTACGCAACAAACAGTTCGATACATTTTTAACTCAAACCATTCTCTTTAAAGCGTAATAAATTTTAATTTCTCTTTTAGTTTGATTAGATGTAGTAAATGGCTTAAGAGCATTACTACGTTTTTTCAGCATCAATTTCATACTTGTTCAACAGTTCGATCATATTTTTTTTCCTTTTCAAACCTAGACTCACAATTTCACGTGCTTCACAAATATACTAAATTGATTTTAATATACTTTTTACACAAAACTTTGATGTCAATTTAATTTTGTGCATATATTTGTCATATCTAAAACGAAAAATTCAATTTATTCTCAAAAACTCACGATTTATTATTTTTTTTATAAAAATATTGTTTGATGAAAGATAACGAGTTTATTGAAGGATTTTTAGATTTTATTAAAAACAGATATTGAAACAGATATCTGATATTAAAGTTGCCTTGATAACTCCTATCCAAAATTGTTAAATCACAAACTCGTATTTCAATTTCCGTGTTAGTAAATAAACTTGAAAATTTAAAATAAAAATATGTATTAGTAAAATTCTTTACAATCTCAATGAACATATCTACTCTGTAATAATAAATTAAAAAAAAAGTGTCATAAAATTTTGTTTTAAAAATCTACATTTGATGCGAAAGATTTTTTTCTGTGAATGTATTTTTTATGTATATTCTTCATTATACAAAGTTTTTAAGTTTAGGCATAATAAATGGTATTAATAAATAAACTTAAAAATTTAGAAATAAAAAATATGTATTAGTTAAATTCTTTATAATCTCAATAAACATATTGACTCTGTGATAATAAATGTTAAAAAAATGTAATAAAAAAGTTAAAAAAATGTAATAAAAAAGTTAAAAAAAACAAATAATCTGGGTTTATTTGATACGAAATATTTCTATTCAGCGAATAATTTTTTGAAAAATATATTCCTCATTATACAAAGTGTTTAATTCAATATACATATATATATTTGGTATTGTCTCGACATTAGTGTATCAAAACTAGAAATGTTGTGGCTGGAGAGCGGAAATTTACTGTTAGCATTTTAATTTTTGTGTCAAATTTTTTAAATAAAATTTCAAAAATTATTTTACAGGTCTCGATCGTTCAAATACAAGCACTTAGAGAATATAAATGATGAAGTAAGCTATTTCATTCTGACTCAGTTAATAAGTATTATTCATATCATAAGTATTAAAAATACACTGCTGGCAACACCCTGAAGGAAGCATGCAAATAACATGCTTGCAACAGGCATTAGCGGAGGTGAGATATGCAAATGATTAGAATTTCAGCGCTGACGCACATTACGCGCACCTGTGGCTCCACTTCAAAGCGCTATTTAAGGCTTGGAGATTTCGACGATTTCAAGTTCGTCAATTGTGTTTTTCTTGTGGCTTTTTCAAAAAACGATCAATTATGCCTCGTAGAAAACAGCGATCATCTTTTGATCAAGTATCCGAGTTCGACAGAGGAAGGATAGTGGCCTACCGAGATTGTGGAATATCTTTCAGGGAAATCAGTAGTCGTGTTGGACGAAACCAAACAACTGTAATGCGGATATGTGATCGTCGGATGCAGGAGGGTACGACGGACCGACGTGTTCGATTGCATCCACCTCAGTGCATCACTTCACGTGATGACAGGCGAATTGTGCGCATGGCAGTGACTGATCGCTTAGTCACATCACTAACCATAGCACAGCACATTCAGTCTGTAACGCATCATCCAGTGTCTGCTCGTACCACACGACCCTCGACGCAGAACCATAGACGTCTCCGCCGCGAATTCTCCCTCTTAAGAATTAAAAATATGTAAAAACAATTAATAAAAATTTGCTACGGAGTTGAGATTTTTTGACAAATCCCACTTGCAAACTGCTGATATTATTTTGAAGAAAAAAATTAAGATACTATAACAAAAATGAGAATCCTTCATTCAGTTTCAAAACAAAAAAATCTTTAGGAGAATATATTAAGGAAGATCAAAGTCCGGATAACAAAGTTCTAACAAACAAACTAACTTAGATTAGAAATTTTGCTGAGTCTTTGAGAGATGAGTTGAGAACGTAATATTAAATATTACAACCATTAACACATGATTATTGTTTTCTTTGACGTTAGAACATGTTTTCCGATTGTTTTTTTTCTATAATTAGCTCAAAAATGCTATTAAAGTACAAATAAAAAAATAATGATATACTAATAATGTAAGTTATATTATGATCTGATATATATAGATGCGAGAAATTAAATAGAATCACTTTAGCTGAAACCATTTCACAGTTAATTCATTTTACAATCATAAGTCTATTGAGAGAAATGCAATTTTGTATTTCCATTTTGTTGCATGCAAAATTAATTTTCCATATTAAATATTTTAGGACTCTTTTGTTGATTATCATGAAAGAAAATTTTTGTACCCTGGATTATATAATGTGTAAGTTTTCCCGAAGTTTATAAAAATGTATTTATAATTCCATTGTTCAAAGCTTTACATTTGTTTTTATAATCAGTTCAACATCCATTTAATATATTATTTATTTTGAAAGTAAATAAAAAAATTCGCAGATGTTGGTTATGAAGTTTTCTGCAAACATAAGAGGAACACAAAATTACAAGCATAACATCTTTGTATTTAATAAACATCTAAAGGTAAAGCGAAAAAAATTATAAAAAAAAAATATACAATTTTCAAAGTATAAAATATTTAAATTTTTATGCTATTTCATTTTTTATGTCACTTCTTTAATTTAATTTATTGTCAAGTGACACTTAGCTCTTCTTAAAAAACATTAAAATTTTTTTTTATTTAGTTTAATAATATTTAAAGTCATTCCTTAATTATGTAAGAGAATTTTTATAAATAATTACGATGGAAACAAGTACTAATGTTGCATGGAATTTTTAAGAAAATATTAGAACTTTTGTATCCTTAATGGGTGGCCTACATATATTGCCTTTTTACCAAACATTTTGAAGCGTAGAGGTAGTGGGCTTCAATAATTCTCTGTTACTCTGCGGATGTATGTTTGTACCGTACCATTCTTAGTTGTGTAAGCTGTTCTTCTGTACGTGGCGTCTTATCTTTAGGCTGGTAAGACAGCTTTGTATTGAGCATACAAGCCCATGTGTAGTTCAGCCGAGTAATATGCAATGATAAAATAATTATATATTAAATCTAATTCAGAAATAGAACTTACATCGAACGTGCAATCAGTTAAAACTTTTCCAACATAGTAAGTAAATCGAGTGGTTAAATTTTCTCAGAAAATGTAATGGTGTGTCTCTAATGTCATGAGAAACTGATCAGTTTCACGTTACTAGGATCTTTTAATATTTAAATATATTGTCTTAGATATATTAGACGATATAAACCCCCCCAAGGTCAATTTTTTTTCTTCTCAATCTAGCAGACGTCGTGTAGATCAGTGATCTCCAATGTGCGGGCTGCAGACCTATACTGGTGAGTGGTTCAGATGGTGAAGGGTCGCACAATGAACATTAAATTATTTCTATTTTATTTATTGTGACGGATTACTCTCGGGTTTGTACAACTTTCCATGAACGAGAGATAAACCGGAGAGGTGTCTTCTAAAGCCGCACCAATACCGCGCATGTTATTGTATTTTACTTTGAGGCATGTTTTAACACAATTAAATATAAAATTATTAGATCAGAGTAGTCTAACATATAAACAATCAATGCTTACTCCCCCCTCCCTCTCAACAAGGTCATGTAAAAATTATGAAAGGTTGACCGGTCCGCGGCTGTAGGTTGAGGAATACTGATGCAATTCTTTGCATTAATCCTTAGCTTTACTGCTCTGTTTATATATTTTGGAAGAACCATTTCAATATTCACTTTCTAAATTCAATATATTTCTTTTTCTAGTACTCGATTCGTATATATAGCAGTATCATTCAAGCGTGCAAAGGCCAGAATTATCACCTTTGTTCCAAAAATGGAGGTAAGTGAAATTTATTTTAAATATAAAATTTAGTTATGCATAAAAAATTTAATTAATAATTGAATTATTAATTATTAACTCATTTAGTTATTAATTATTAAGTAAATTAATTATTAATAATTTAGTAATTTAATTATTAATTATTAAGTAATTTAAGTATTAATAATTTAGTTATTTAATTATTAATTATTTAGTAATTTAACTACTAATTATTAATTATTAAAGATCACTGACAACATCATTTACTGTCTACTATAATATGAATGCATATAATTATTTTTATATATATTTATTTTCTAAATATTTTCAGCCTATCGACTTGTTTAGCAACATTGGTGGATTCTTGGGAATTTGGATTGGTTCCTCTATCATATCCGTGTCCGATTTCTTATATAAACTGTCTGAATATGTCTACATTTACACTATAAAGCTTGTTAAAAGATTGAAAGCAAGAATTGAGCAGCCATAACAGCATGCAAAACTGATCAGATGAATTATTTTTACCATTTTTGATTGACTATGTTCAAACAATCAAATAGTTTCGATAATAACAGTATTTCTTGCCACTATTAAGCATTATTAAGTAGTTTAAGCTTATTTTTACTAGCATAACAAATGTCTTATGCTTTAAGAAATTTTTTTTTTAAATGCCTTTCCATAATAGCATTTTTTTTGCCTTCAAGGAAATATTTTTTATTTGAATTGCAGCATTATTTTTTACACTGAAACTATAGTTAGAAAAATAAAGAAAATAAGCGATAGTCATACCCTCTTTAAATTCAATCAAAATATTTTGTTTTGTTTTTCTTCCTAATTTGTTCCAATTCGTTGTTTTTTTGTTAAAATATGTATAGAATTATTATTATCTTCACTTATTATTTTGAAAGATCCAAACTGCTATATTACAGCAATTAAACGTTTGACATTAGGCGACAGAAATAGAAAAATACATTATACAGCGATGAAATCCATGAAATGTTCTTCATGATATTTATGACTTCAGCACAAAGTTAATTAAAACTACAGGTAAATTTATATATTATCGTTTGGTGATTTCATTATTTTGGTCTGTTTTATATTATTATAATTTGATATTTATTATTTTAAAGCAAGTTTTTTAAAATACTTTTGGTTTATGATGTAATGTATATTACATTTGTCAATAAACTTTGAAGCAAATTATGATTAATTAGTTAAGGCAATTTTTCTATCTGTATTTATTAAACATTGCATATTTCAAATACTATGTATGTGTATTGATGTAGCGCTCAAATTAAAAAGCAAAGAACACATTTTTCGGGATATTTAGGTCTGAAAATATTGCGGGGGGCGTCGCAATCTGGAAATTCGGGTCCAATTAGTTCATGTAGGAAAACAGCCGAAAGCTTAAACCTTTTAATATTAATTTTTTTGCGTAATTCGAGAAGTTTTTAAGTGAATCAAAAAAAATTTGCGCTTAAAAATATAAAATCTGCTTATCCAAATTATTTATAAAATTATTCATTAATTAAAAATTTCGAATTGTAATTGAAAAGATATAATTAATATGTATACAATAGAAATTTAAATAAACACAAACACTGCTGCTTAAAAAACAATATGTTAATTTGCGTTTTAATTAATATAAAAACAGATCAACTTAAGAATGCACAGCAGAAAACTGCTTACAAAGCGTTTTTTGTGACAAAACATTCATTTCATGCGTTTACAGTCAAGTCACAACATGATTTTAAATTTAAAACAAATAGAATTTTTTTAACTAATCAACAATTAAATATATTGTGTCACCTAAATTTTTATTCCAGAATTTGCTTCAAAATATTTAAACAGTTAAAATGCTGTATTTTTTAATTTTTTAATGGTGTAATGCTCTAGCAATTCCAATATGAAACTTGATATTGTATGAGTAATAAGCAATACTCAGTTTTTACTAATTTATTTGAGGGGAAAAAAATGTTAGATTTTTTGCTTGTGATATATATTCTATAAGGAAGTAGATCCTATTTATGTAATTATAATTTTTGTAAAAGAGCTATCACGCAAAGAGAGTGAAAAATCATGCAAATCAACATTCATTCCTTTAACACTAACCAAATATCTTATTAACCTTAAATAGGTATATATTTAATTAATGACAATAAAGGTTGAAGAATTTAAGGTTAAGTCTGTTGTGATGGCCATGTACTATTACAGTTTAACTGCTACGAATACACTAATGCAAAAATTAATATTTCCACACAAATTTAATTTTTGGTGTGCAATCAAAATTTTTCATTATTTTCGAACTTGTAAGGATTGTTTTTTTTGCAAACCAGATTTAGTAGCTGAAACCTTAACTGGCCACTTTTTTCCCGAGCTAAAGATCTAGTCCAGCTAGTAAAACTTTTCTAGCTTGCAAAAGATTTAATTTATTATTTGATTCTATTTATTAATTTCTATTTTAGGTTTATTTGTTTAAAAAATTATAAAATAACAGTGATGTGACCTGAAAGTTTGCTGATAAAAAAACAATTTTCTGCTTTTTTTCTTATTTTGTGCAATGTAGTTGTTTTTCCATTATTTAAAAGGAAATCTATCCATAAGTATTGAAAAAAAATCACCTTTTTTATTACAGACTCTAAATTTATTTATTCAAGATTTCCAGTCACTATTCAATGAAAATTAAGGCCATGTCGCGTATAATTGTATTTAATGTATTAGGAACTCTGCTTTATGATCTCTCTCTGCTTACAAACCCATGCAATTGATAGTCTTTTCTTTCCTTTTTTAATGATAAACATGTAATTGATAGTCTTTCCTTTTTTTATTTTTATAATAAACACGCAATTGATAGTCTTTCTTCTTTTATTTTTTATAATAAGCCCGCAATTGATAGTCTTTTCTTTCTTTTTTTTAATGATAAACCGGTCTTTGCATCTAAATTTTTCTATAACTATTATTATGTAACTTAATAAATATTTAATAATTGTTAAATGATTTTTACGATACCGTTTTAAATACTGTAGAAGATCGTTATTATGCAAACCCTGAAACTTGGGCCTTTGTGTTTTATGAGTTATGTGTTGTATAGATCATTTCACTAATCTCTAAACTTACCTACTAAATATGGCAAATTTAGTCTGGAACCAATCACTTTTAAAATACTTAAAAAATAATTTTTAAATTCAAATCTTTAAAAACACAAAACATGTACGTAACTATTTATTATTTAAGGAAACAATGTGAATTTTTCTGCAGTTTTAGAACTAGTAACAAAGAAATTAATCAATTTTGGTTTGCTTAGCTTTTGATATTTTAATTAGCAGATAATTAGACAAATATAATATAAAAAGTTATTGTTTGTTATCGAAATGTCTTAATTGCAAATTTAATTGTTTACACCCACTAAGCTAGTGTGGTTTATAGAAAATTTTGTTTATAGAATTGTAATATATAAATCTTCTATTGTATGTTTAGCATAAAATGTTGCATAATGAAGTAATCTGTGATTACTTTATCCTAATGAAAAAACACAATTCTAAATATAAACTTCTTGCTTGGAGCAATCAGAATGAAAAATTTATTAGTAGCTTTGAAAGATTTAAGTTCTTAATGAAATATAGTTGAGACTATTGGTTTTAGATACTTTGAGCACAACTGTGCTAAGTATAAGTCTCTTAACATTTTTTTAAGAAAAAATTGTTTAACGTCACAATATTATTAATTAATGTATAAAATCTCTTAATGTAAATGTTTGTGAAATAAAAATCCTCATTTTGAATTTTTATTAAGCCTTGTAATTTGGTGTAATCATATGTATTAATTTATAAGTACTGTGCAATAATTTATAATTTTAACTTGCATAATCATGATGTATGGGAGTTATAAATATAAAATAACCCTATTTTGATATTGTTCTTTGCTAAAAAAGAACACTGCTAAAATCTCAAAACATTCATCATCGAAGGTGACACTTCGCACTACGTTGAACACACATGTTTATTTATCATTGATTTTTAGATGAATTGCAGAGCATTTATTAGTGTTCAAATTTCTGTTACTTGTAAACTAAAGATACTGTTAACCAGTTGCAACTATTAAAAAACACTCCCTAATAATAAGATCCTATAACTGAGTCAGTCTTTATTGTTTTATCTAG